CAGTTACTCCGTCAACCAGCTAAATCAATTTCAGAAGCTCTCGAGGTGGTCAAACGATTCGAGAGTGTAGAGCACTTGCTTTCGCCATCCATCAGCACGTCCTGTTACGAACTAAGGACCACTGGTCGAAAAACAGCCGTCCCAGCCACCCGACAATAGCACCCCAACAACTGCCTGGACCAGGAGATACAGGAGTTGACTCCCGGGTGTCTTCCTGCAAGTAGAGGAAATACTACATTGATTAGTGTTATAATACGGGTTTTGTTTCTCTTATATAGTATCCTGGTAACGCGATTGTTGAAAAAGCCGCACCGACAACAGCACCCCAACATTTCATCGCCAGCTCCACCTACACCCTCCGCTGACATTCTCCCAAAACCAAACAGTGATCCTAGCAAATGTTATTATTGCCGTCGTTCTGGTCGCCGAGTGTGGTAATATGGCTATTATAAAAAACCTCAAGGTGAGCTACCTCTTCATGTATCTTTATTTGGTCAGTGTTTGAAATCACCACTTATCCTTGAGGGTAAAATTCAGGGCGTAAACGTAACTTTTCTGGTTGACACCGGGGCATCGTCATCTGTTGTTCGCACAGTTTGTTCAGTGATTGGGGTCCAACCCTAAACCTCTCACCAAACACCTACAATTAATTACCGCCAGTGGAGCCCCATCAAGGTAACGGACTCCGTCACACTCTCCGTGACGCTACAAGGTTTTACCTGGAACCATTCGTTTATCATGTGTGAGGTTGTACAATGGGACGTCATACTGGGGGTGGATTTCCTATCTGCCCAACACGCTGTCATTGACCTAGGACGTTTTTAGATCCGTTCAGGGACACATAACCTCTCGCTCAGTTGGTCACGATCAGAGTGGTAACGCTTGTGCTTTACCCCAGGTGACTACAGCGAATATCCACCTCAGCTTGAAAGACCGTACCGACACTCTGACACTGCTACAAGAATACAGTGACGTGTTCGATGATGGCCACGTGATGGGGCGCACTATTATTGTACAACACGAGATTAAGACGGTGGATAACTTGCCGATTAGGACGCCACCTCGGCGGGTTCCCATTCATTACCAGCAACAGCTGGACACAATGATAACATATGCTACGAGAGAAAGTAATTAAACCGTCCACTTCACCGTAGGCATCTCCTATCGTACTCATGAAGAAGAAAAATGGCTCCCTCCGTCTTTGCGTTGATTGCCACCGTTTAAACGCAATCACTCAACGATATTCCTCCCCACTACTTCACACAGACGCTACCCTAGATGCTTTGGGCGAGGCACAGTGGTTTTCCACATTGCACCTAGCTTCCGGAAGATTGACCAAAAACTGCATTTGTTGTGCTTATGGGGTTATTCGAATTTGAAACCATGCCATTTGGCTTGTCTAATGCCCGTGCTACGTTTCAACGACTCATGCAAACAGTACTTGCAGGGTTAGTCCCTAAACAATGCCTAATTTACCTGGACAACATCACTGTGTTTGGGCATTTTCGGATTGTAATAGAGAGGTTTCGTGTGCATTTTGGATTGTGAGGGCGATTGTTACTTCCCGGCTGCCCACACCGTGGAAGTTGGTTGCGTGACCGCAGAGCCCAGGGGACAACTGCTTGAGGCCGGTCACACGCGGCCTGTTTTTGTTCGTTCTTTTATGTTTGGTGTGCCTCAGTAGCATACTTATCACTCCTGCCCTGTGACACGGCAGTAGGAGGCGCGGTCGTTGTTAGTCCGGGCCACGGCCGATCCGGCATGAAATTTTGTGATTTTGTATTGGACATGATGTTGGATTGGGTAGCTGCTTTTTGTTTAACCGCTTTCCAAACAACCTGCCTGGCATGGTAGTACCTCAAGAGACATAAGTCTCAGCCAGTATAGCTTGAATAGATCATTGCGGTGTTCAAGCCCGACCACCGTCAAGGTAGCAGCTTTCGGTCGGGTGTTTGGGCAGTCCCTTGAAGAACACCATGCCAACCTCCGAGCTGTATTTCAACGTCTTCGCAAGAGTAATCTTAAGCTGAAAGCATCAAAATGCCATTTCCTGCAGAAATCTGTTACTTTCCTTGGTCATGAGACTTCTCCACAAGGAGTGAGCACATACAGAAGCAAAATACAAGTAATCCTCAACTGGCCTACTCCTAAATCGACGACAGACGTCTGTAGTTTCATGGGGCTTGCATCTTACTACCGTCGTTTTGTTCAAAACTTCGCCAATATAGCGACCCCCCTTCATCGATTAACTGAAAAGGGACGGAAATTCGCTTGGACTAGCGAGTGCCAGGTGGCATTCAATACGCTTAAAACATGTTTGACTTATCCTCCTTTTTTAGCATTCCCAAATACGTCGCCGGGCAGCGGCCCCTTTATCCTGGATACTAACGCCAGTGCACACGTGATAGTAGCCGTCCTTTCACAGACAACCTCTAACGGACAAGTAAGAGTGCTATGTTAGCCGGATGTTGAGCAAAAGAGAGACACGGTATTCTACGACGCGCCGTGAGATGTTAGCCCATGTATGCTTACTCACTTACTTCCGCCGTTACTTGCTGGGGCGCAAATTTCGGGTCCGAACTGATCACAAGGCGCCACAGTGGCTGCAGAACTTCCGTGATGCCGAAGGTCAACTTGCCCGCTGGCAGGAACGTTTACAGGAGTTTGATTTCACTTGTGAATACCGGCCCGGAAAACGACATGGTAACGCCGACGCCCTCTCACGCCTGCCAAACTGTGAAACCACAGTAAATGTATTACTTGGTGCTACAGCTGATATTGACTGGGCCTCTCTACAAGCGGCAGACACAGAGATACAACCTATTTATTTATAACAGCACGGCAACAATAAGCTGACGGCCAAAGAATTACGAGACCTACCAGCAGCTACGAGGAGCATCTGCGGTAAGTGGGGTCTCCTTCGTCTAATTGATGACGTCCTCTACATAGCGAAACCGAATTCCAACTTACGACTGCTCGTTCCAAATGCCAGAGCACAGGAGCTTATTAGCCAAGTACGCCATCAACTTGGGCATGCTGGTCAACACAAAACTGAACACGCCATCCGTCAACGCTTCTGGTGGCCGTTACTTCACCAAGATGTGATCGAGTTTTGTAAAATTTGCGACTTCTGTAACCGTAACAAACAGTCTACGCAAACGCTTAGAGCACCACTCGTACCTATGCTAACGGAAGCGCCTAATCAGCGCGTCGGGATCGACATAATGGGGCCACTCCCAACCACCAAAAGAGGTAACCGCTATATCCTAGTGATGATTGATTACTTTACAAAATGGTGTAAAGTGGTACCTTTACAACGACAAGATGCAAATAGTGTAGCCCAGGCGTTCACTGACAACTGGATTGCTCGTTTTGGTGCCCCTCCATTCACTGCATTCAGATCAAAGTGCTGCCTTTGAAAGCCAACTGGTTCATCACATCTGGAACGTATTTGGCGTCCGGAAGACACGCACGACTGCTTACCACCCAGAAGGAAACGGGTTAGTGGAACGTACTAATCGAACACTCAAGAATGTTCTACATGCTTTTCTTGATCGCTTATCAACTGACGCTTGGGATGAGACACTGCCTCAATGTCTCCTGGCTTATCGTTCTTCCGTGTACTCCTCCACGGGTTTGTCACCTGCGTTACTTCTGTATGGCCAAGAATTACGCCTTCCTATAGAAGTTCAAGTTCCTTCCCTACCCTTTGAAAAGACTGACCATATCGTTTATGTCCGGCAACTACGCAACCGTTTGACAATTGCTTACGATCTGGCGCGCACGCAACAAAAGTTGTCAAGCTACCATCTGAAAAATGTGTATGACCGTTTCGCTCGTGGCCCAACTTATGGTGTCGGTGATCACGTTTGGCTTCAGCATCCTCCTGAACCAAATGCGAAATTCTACTCCCCATGGCACTCACCCTTAGAGATTCTGCGGACGTGTCCACCCACAACTTGAAAAATATTCAGCAACCGAATGGCGATATTATTCCTCCCCACTACAATCAACTCAAGCCGCGTCGCCTTTTTCCATCCAATAATTAGCCCTCTCATGATGAATCATCACTCGCCAGCTGTCAATATGAAGTCCCAGCCGTTGGAGGTGCAGGCTACCCAATTCCATCCTTGGGCGCTGAGGACAGTGCCCCCAGAGGAAGGGGGCAGTGTAAGAGAAACAAAACCCATATTATAACACTAATCAATGTTTTATTTTCTCTACTTTCAGGAAGACACCCAGTAGTCAACTGCCTGGACCTGGAGATAGGAGTTGCAGGGCATAAACATTAATGAAGCTCAGTAAAACTGTTATACCCTAAAACTGTACCCCGCACTTTTTAAAAGTAAATTTTGTGGAATAAACGCTCTCCTGCACAGTTCGTGTTCTGTTTTGATTACCTGTGTGCCTGCTAGTTTGCCTGTTACAATTATCCGAGATTAGTAATATTTCGTTTTTCACGAATTAGGATAGTTTTTACAGATATTTATCATAAAATAAATGATAAGTGTACTTTATGTATGATTTGTACTGAATTGAAAGCTAAGTCGTCATTGTGTAGAGACAGTGTGTTACAACTTGGTCGTCTGTAACTTCCAGACTTCAATGAGCGTCTCTATGATTTCAAACATGAAATTAATGGTGGCTCTTGTTGACAGGTGAAGAGTCTGCCGAAGTTTGATAATAATGTGGTTATGAACGGTATAGTTGTCAAATGCTGTCCTGATATAATCTTTATAGGAAATTATCATTTCCTCGTAGTCGAATGCCAGTTAATAGTGGTTCAAACTAATATTTTTTTTTGATTACAGCTTGATTCCACACCGTATTTTTGGTACAGGTATGGAATTTTCAGCGTGGATATTGGTAGCCCAAAATTCGCAGGCCGACCATAGATATCAGGTGTGCGTCGGCGTGGGCTCGAACCTCGGACCATGTGTATGGTTGGCGAGAGTCCTAACCACTGTGCCACCGATGCACTAGTAAAGTATAAAAAGGCATTCTACAGATCAGGAGTTAATGATGGACTCGGGAAGAATGATACACGATATTTTGGCCATAAGTGACGTACAACACTGGCATCAGTTATCTCATCTGGAGTAGATGGTGATGTTGATAACTGACAGTGTTCATTTTCTGTATCTGAGGATTTTTTTTATCTAAATCATAAGTTTCATTCAAACCACGCGATGGCTGGGATTTCTTTTTTTGTTGTTGGTGTTGTGGTGGTGGAGATAAATTCAATTGTAATGAACGAGTTTTTCGTTTAGGACGCAGAATTCTCGGAACATCGGAGGGCGGAGCCATAACTGTTGAACTTTTTGATGATAATCCCAAATCCTTATTGTCTTCATCAAGGCCAGTAGTAGCTGTCGTTGTCGCTGATGGTGTTGAACGATTTTGACATATGCCAGGAAGACATTGACAATTCGCTGGAGTACATAAACGACCAGAACGTTTACAACTACAGCGTGACTGACAATTTCCACGACATTTACATTGACGTTGTTGTGAGTCATCATTGACAGTTGGATTACTGTTCTCTTCTTCTTCTCCTTTGAAATGAAGATTCTCTTCACTTTCGGATTTTTTAACTTTACTATCAGGTTCATCTGTATCCGTCGCATTACAACTGATATGTGAACGTTTATTAATAAATGTAGGCGATATATTACGGTCATTGTTCGTTATGCATCCATTAGAATTTTCACCATCATCATCATTATTTGATGGCAAAATGAATGTCTCATTATTATTATTAAGATTTTGATTCTGCCGAAGTACTGGTGTACCAGCCTGTCGAGAATTTAACAATTCACGCGATTGTAAATTCATTTCTGCTAAGTTTTCACGTTGAATAGCAATTAATTCACGTAATTCAGCATTTTCTTCTTGTAATTTTTTTACGTATTTACTAGTCACTTGACAATGCGACTTGACATCTTCAATATAATCCTCCGTATTTAAATAACCGTTAGCTTTATTGATTAAAGGTGGAGGGCGAGAATCTGTGCATGCATTCACATTGGAGGTGAGCGCAACTTGTAGGGCTTTTTGTAATTTATCATTTTGACTTTTCAATTGCTCGATGGATTTATCCTTTGATTGGAGTTGTTCTTTCAAGTCACAGCAACTCGTTTGAGATTTTAACAATTCCGTTGAAAAACTTTCACGTAAATTTTCCATTTCTTGCTTCAATGCAGTCATTTGTGTGTCCATCTCGGACACTTGTGTCTCTAAATTCATCTTTGCTACTTCAGATGATGACGCTTCTTTAAATAAATATTTCAAAGCTATTCGTGCTTCTTGAATATTATGTAATTGTGCCAAACGATACGATATTTGACCATTAGAATCTGATGCACCGACACAACCACCACCACCTTCTGCATCAGTTGATGATGACCGTTCACCGGCATCGATAAGTTTTTGCTGCAGATCACTAATCTGCTGTGTTTGCGATTGGATTGTCTCTGTAAGACTTTTCACTTCATCCACATACACATCATATTGTTCGTCATTTGGTTGACACGTTTCTATTTTCCTTTCGATATCACGTAATTGATCACAAACCATTTTACGTGAATCGATTAGATTAGTTAAATGAATCGATTTTTATCGCATTCAGCTAAAATATTTCTACCTTTTTCATCTTTTCTAGTTGAATTGACCATGCTCCATCGTTTAAGTTTTATCATACGGTTGGGGGACCTTAATTCTGCACACTTAAGGCTTAAAAACTGCATCGCTAATCAACTTGGTAATGCAGTTTCTTCAAGAGTAAATACCTTAATCAACAAATAACAGACTAATAATTTTCAAAGAATAGGTACCACAGTCACCTTGGACCAGCCGGTCATATGCTTCTAGGCAAAAATTGGCGTATGCGATGTAGAAGTATGTATATTGGATATGTGTATAACACAATTGAATCGTATAGGGTATTTTTCCCTAATATACAGCAAAACGAGGTCTCAATTTCCCGTAGGAGTGGCTATATTAGAAACACCAAAATCTCTGAGTACCATTTAGAGTCCGCTAATCTTGATGAATAATTTACCTTATGATGAATATAACCTGGCGATGGTAGTCACACTACTCAGAGTTTCGAATGGATGCTGTACATAGTCGTTCCACTCTAGCCTTAATCTTAGTTGCAGTCTCCATAACCTTACACGTAACCCTACCTTAGTCCTACCCTAACCCTAAATCAGGCTGGAACTTGCAACAAAGATTAATGTTCATGGATCTGTATGGTTAAATGTCATTTGACTGTGACATTTGTTCTTAACTTTCGCCATCGACTGAATCGCCACCAGGGAGAATTCATTATGCATGTTTTAACTAAAGTATACCACACTTAAAATATCATTCTCAATTGGGAAGAGCAATTTCGAATATCACAAGTTTTAACATTGCAACAGAAGTCTAAAAACTCTTCCCCTAATCTCATACTGTCATGCATTTCGATCACCTCAGATTTCTAGTCAGTGACTGAATTCATAATCACAGTTATTACATCTGACCACACAATTTACATGATACTTTGAAGTTTGGCCCACAATATAATTCATTCATTCACTGAATTTCACATTTTATGGACTCAAGATCTTACAAGAAAGCATCGCGGTAACAAGCTACCAAATTTTCACGTCAGTCAATTTTCGTTCTCCTACAGCGGTGAGCTTACACTTAGTATATTTATTGTTAGTTCTGATTATGATTACATTGTATTTCTGTGTCATATTTTGATAATTTTCAGAGATAACGACATATTTGTCTAAGCTGAATTGGCCATTCGATGGTATACGTTTGTGAAGACGCCACTATCTAGTCAATTTCTCCATCGAAGACAATACATTTTTCTGCATAATTTGTGTGGTTCAGGCGTCCGTGCGTTACAATCATTCATTCACTTTGCTTTGCACTCCATTCAAATGCATTACCGAAGTTATGTTCTTCTGTCTCTGGATGGTAATATTCTCATTCACAGTTGATCAGTAACCAACAGTTCACATCAAGCGAAACACCCGAACAATGTGCATTCGACTTTGTACTGTGTACACATAGAACGCAGGGTTATCTAAGATCATCGAATAATTCATACTGTACTTTCAGAACAACTTTGCTACTCTTGATTGACTATGAATATACCGAGTCCTATTTTGGAGCAAGTCTTTATATACTTGGATTGGAATGAACGTTCACGAGCTGCTCGTGTGTGCAGGAAGTGGTATTCTGTGTTCCGTTCTCCGAGTTTATGGAGAAGAATTGTGTTTAAGCCACCTTGTCGGCGGTTGACTAAACTTCAATATGATATTAAGGGTTATCGTTTGTCATGGTGAGTTACACTTTTGTTGCATTGAGAAATGTATTTTTGATTGTTTCCCCACTAACGGAGCCATCCAATTTTAATGTGGCAGTGTGTAAACCTGCTTTATTTATTCATTTAAACGTAAACTTCGTATAGTATAGGCGTTATGAAATGCACCGTACAAAATTAATAATGTAATAAAAGAAGATAGTGTACTGATCAAGTGCACCTAAAGGAACGTCCATTACTCCTGGTTATTTTCAAACACTTAACAGCCAAAGAGGAGATTGCAACATATGATTACGCTTCTCGGCCATATCTGATGACGTGTTGAGGCACTGATTTGGATTGTCTCTCAGAACTTACTCGAGTTGTGATACACCGACAGATGTTAACCTAACACAACTATTATCCATCTCACTCTACCAGATAGTTGGTCAACCGCCTCCTCCTTTTCGCCATTCATCGGGCTAGTAAACAGTGAACCGCGAGAATAACTTGCGTAGTACATGTCCGAGCAATCGACGCCTCTATTCCAAGTTGATAATAGTTATAACAAGATGGTCTCCACTGTGTCTGAATGCTCCACCAGACACCAAAACCAGGTATATGGCGATGCTACTGGATGCAAGTGGTTCTACGGAAGCAGCGATGGTTGAATATTTAGAGTAGCTACGCACCTTCAGCATGGAGAGACTAGGTTTCACTAGCGTAGAGCAAACTGCTCCTACCGAATAATTTTAAACCCGAAGTTTGACAGTTAGGCGTTGCAACGATATCAGAGGTGCCCCAGGTTAACGTATGGTGTCCCTAGCTGTCATTATACATTCAGAGATCTCATCCGTCACACTTTCACCAGCAATCATGCAACTAGCTCACTAAGCTTTAATGTAATATTAGGGGGCATCTTTTGTCATATCAAGTTACACTTTTGTGCATTAGTTCACGAATATTTCCAGCTGACATATTTATTTCGGTAGAAGTGTACTATTTTATTCACGGAACGTGAAAAAACTCCATAGACGAATGCTCTGGGTCAAACTCTATTGATTCTCTTCACTCATCTTCTTGTCTACCTTTGTCTGCTATTTGGAACGTGGTAACTCGAACTGCTGCACTTGGGTGCCAAGTTCTATGTTGAATCCAGACAGACAGCTCTGGGTTTTACAGGTCACACCTAGCTATCTTAGAGACACTGAATATGTATTTTGAGGTAAATGAGTTGATGGGTATAGCCGATCTACAGAATGATAGATGTAGGGTAATAATATTTGCAATTTATTTCGAATATTACCCAATGGTGTTACCATTAAAGTTGGAGTATCACATCTTGAATTACGAAGTATTTATGTCCGTCATCTCAATAACTGAGGTTACAAGGTCCACACCTGACAATAACACTGTTCTTATCATCACATTTTCTTAGCCAGATATCATTACCTATAGCAGTTAACAAGTGTTCACATTGTTTCTGAGTCTCACTAAATTTCACGTTGACATGAGAAGTTTGGAGTGTTCTACATAGAGGCGTTTCAAGATTCATCCCTACGGTAATTGGACTTACTATCAACGTGTTTTCCAAATGGTTACTGAGATTGATCTTGTTTCATAAGCGGAGATTCCCTTTCTGTTATGTTTACCCTGTTTACTTAACGCACCGCTAGTTTTAGTGTAGCCTCCACTCACATCTTCATTTCACTTTCAAGTACTATCTATTACAGCATCAGCAGTCTGCTAATCCAAGGCTGTCAGAGTTATTCTCACCGTCAAATGCTCAGGAGTTTCACCACTAGTTGTATAATTCGGTCAATGACTATTTTGTCCTGTTTATATATATATATATATATATATATATATATATATATATATATATATATATTATATCACGGAGGGGATTTATGCGTCTGATTTTTGCCATATTTTTTCAACGAATTCCAGTAACATTATGTTCATTTGTTTTGGTCTTTTTAGTACTTTTTCCTTGATATACTGATGTCAGTTTTGGTAACTTGACATATCAATCAGTTTATATCCGATTGCTTGTGTTTACCCCATTCTTATGCATGCAAAGTACTGTTTGAAGCCCTCTGTTGCTCACTTCAGTAGGTCATTTGTAATGACTTTGTATTTTACAGTTGTTTAAAGGCAATTGGATGTCATATTCGCAGCTATAAGTTTCTAAAAAGTGATGATTTGTTTCTGCTCAACCGAACATTGAATCTCGTCGCGAAATTTCTTGAATACAATGCCAAGTTACACAAGCGGAATGATGAACTTGATAAAACATGTTTTGATTCAGATGATAATGAGTATTACGAATCCTCCGTGTCAGCACGTGATTTTTCACTTAGTAGAAAGTCAAGCCACAATGCTGATTATGAAACAGTGTATGGACCTGCTGGTTTTATCATTGAGGGCGATCCTGATGCTGAAGCTACCCTCCGGCTTATATTTGAACTACAAGAGCATGAAGCTCAGCAAAATACATCCGATTTTTCTCCTTCTGACGATGATGTAAGCACTATGTTGTTTAATGGATATGATACTCTGCTACATAAAATATCTATAACTGTTACCAATTTGAATGATATATTTTTGGAGCAGGATTCTTGTGGTATTTTTTGACATTAACAAGACATACTGAACAAAGTTCATTTTATCTTTCCACATTGGTGTCGAAAAGTTTTATGTTAACTTTTTAGTCCACCAATTAGTGTAATTTCGCGAATCCGATTTGTTGGTCAGCATTTTTAGATTCATAGTTGCTTTTTGACGTCTTCATAGTATGATAGTTATAGACGTATGCTCTTAATAAAAAACGGACGTTTATGAAGATTACCTTTACGCGTATTATCTTTTAGGGTTCTAGAATATGAATTGAATTAGGTGTAATAACTGTCACACTTACGTGGTAGTCGGGATTGCATATTTCAGTGACTCCAAAGTGCTATGCTAACCGGAAGTAATTTACAGACAGGTCTTAGCATACTAGTATACCTACTAGACTAAAAGCAGCTATTTTTATGTTGTCGCTTGCGTGAATTATGGCTGGCATATGAGTGGAAATTCGTAGCGTTGGTGAAGGTAGTATAGAGAAAGCATTAGTCCTCAGAACATGTTGAAAACTCTCTTAATCGTCTATTTTAACTTTATCCAAGTAATCATTTGTTCCTGTGCTGCTCTATTTGATTATGGCTTTGACAATTTGACTCTGTACGTGGGAGAGATTTCTTCCACTAATAGTCCACAGGAAATACTGTCATTTCAAGTAAAAACACTGACAAAATCCATTCTTCCGAACATTTTGAACAAGAATTTGGATTTGTTTGTTCTGCTGTTTGCCCCTGCCAAACGTCAGATGATGCACCACTTAGTCTACTACATTGACTTTAATTGTTTCGGAAGTCGTGTATGAACTAAATAGTTAGTAGGTGATGGAGACTGAGAACATATTAGAGGTTGTGTAGACGCTTGCCAACTTGTGTGATTTGGACGCCTACTAGATGTCCAGTTTCCCATGAATGTGCATGTGTACTGTGCAAAAGTTCACCCTGTTCTTCTTTTAGGCTGTGAGATATACTAAGTGTCTGAAATTGAAGGGTATAGTAAGATTGAGGCTTTCGATCATTGGTGCCTTTGTCCGATTGACTTCAACGGGGTGAAAGGCTCAACAGAGATGAGTTTGCAAACCTTTATCTGTGGAAGTAGATAGACATGTAGTTAGTGTGTCAATCAACTGCCTTCCTCGAAGAATAAGCTAAACTAGAGTGGGAAGGAGTAGGTTAAAGGAGAGTTGAGGTTTTTAAGACCAAGATGTGTAACGAATGGTAGAATCTCTGATTGAGTTTCTGTGTCAACAGATATGTGTTGATTACTTGACTGGTATTCTCGGAATGTTAGAAATTAATGAGTGGAGACTTTTGTTCAGAAGTCGAAGTCGATTGCACTGGTTGATTATGCTCCCTCTTCATCACTGAGATTCTGATCACCTGTTTTCTCTTACATTTTTTTTCAACTTTTTCAATTTTTTTTTCGTTACAGCTTGATTCCACACTGTATTTTTGGTACAAGTATGGAATTTTCAGCATGGATATCGGTAGCCCGAATTTCGCAGGCCGACCATGGATATCAGGTGTGCGTCGGCAGGGGATCGAACCTCGGACCATGTGAATGGTCGGTGAGAGTCCTAACCACTGTGCCACCGACGCGCACGTACAATGAGTTATTCTCAACTACACGTTTTTGTCCGTTAGTTTTTCAACATATGTGTGTGATTTTTATTTAGGTTTGGATCCCAAAACTTGGTGAAAATGTCTGCAGCTGTAGCTTATTTTTCAAGGCTTTCAAATGTCCCAGCTGCTGATCTGCTGACGTTTAGGCAAACAATTATTGTCATTAGTCATAAAATCAATAGCTATGCGAAGGAACATATGATAGTTGCATTTTATAAATACTCTAAGGTATGACCTGTTTAGTAGTTTGGTTGAAGGATCATGGACTAGTAAGGTGATAACTATATAGTACAATCGTTTTCTAAAAATGATATCTTAAATTTTCCGGTTTCTGCCCAGTTTTTGTTATTACCTCACTACTTTGATATGCCGATTTCTGTTATATTTGTACTGAAGGCCTAAATTTGAAACATCGTTTTTATTTTTAGGGGTCTGAACTGTTCGATGATTTTGAACAGTTCAGCTTGAACAGAATGTCATCAATTAGCTATCCTCCATCTCAACGGTATCACAATAGCAGCCTACAGCGTAGTCAAAGCGCTCAGTGTCCTTCAACAGTACAGTCTTATGCAATCCCTCGCTATCCACCGGTTGTTCACTCTTTTGAGTTGGATTTTAATGCTGAGGTTGATGACTTACGCGGTTTTGTATATGGAACTGGAGGTGCATTGTTAACAACAATTAGTCGAGTTATACGTCAGTTAAACAGACTTCGTCGTCTTCGACTGGTGGATCTTTTTCTTGTTCCAGACGATGCTAGACGGTTAGTTTGTGAGTTGAGTGATGTAAGTTTCAAGTGTGGTTTAATTATTTTAATTTTTAAAATAGTTATGTTTTACGAGTTGATCACGGATTGATATCAGTTAGAGAACCATTGAAAACCAGGGAGTACTGGACAGCTGCTGTTTCATCCTAGTTTGGGAATCATCGGTAGTACGCACCCACTGGGATTCGAACCTGGGACCTTCCGGTTACAAGGCAAGCTCGTATACCATTCAGCCACTGGGACCCGATTCAACGGCTCGTGAATTCTAACTTCTACTAACTCGTAAAACATAACTAATCCTTACAAACCAAACTATAGAAAGATAGTTATGTTTCTTTAAAAAAATCGTCATAATAGTAAATATACTATTCTCGCGATATTGTAAGTGAACAGAAGTCTACCGGAATAAGCGAAGAGAATCTGAAGAAGGGGTTAACAGTTGCTTATGAAGATTTTTGAAATCTCTGGGATGTTATTTAACAGTTATTAGATTTTTACATCTGGTGGATTTTGATTCATATCCCGTGGATTCCGTAAACATCAATTCCTACCAGATTTAGAGTTACACTCTGGCTGCTACTACTTTTTAGTGTGTCAATCTTCACAAAAGCTGTTTCTATTTTTCTTTATATACAAGTATGAGTAAGCAGTTCTGTTTGTGCCACTCTGTTTTCTAAAATGGTAGACAAGTTTCTGTTACACAGCTGGGAAGTATTTTTCATCTTATCGTCTAGCGTTAATATTATTGCAGAGTAAGTTGGAACGTAGTGGGGACAAAGAAGGCATGCAGAGTTAGTGTTTCTTGCGTGAACTGTAAACCAAAAAATCGATCTTAACGTTTATCAAAGGTAACGTCGTTTAGCTCCTATTGGTATGTGCTACCGAGTCAAACATAGTCTTTAAGTCAAATTCGCGATTTGCAAATTAGTTCGCAGTTGTTGACACAGATCAAGGTGATTATTTCGCTAGTGTTTCCTTAGGAAATCGATATTATTCAGATCACAATATGTGATGTACTTGATACTATAAATGGTAATTAAGAAACCAAGCGTAAATTTATAAAACGACATACTACTGATTGATTGGTAAGAGTAGTTGTGCACTACTCACATCAACCAGTAGTGCTTGATAACTATATTGAAGTGATATAAACACCGAATGGTCGTTTCGCTAGTTTGGAGTGGAGCTCATTAGCGGCTGGTATGAACTAAGCTGAGTCATACCGCGTACACCCGCTGATGAACTTGACCTTAAAAGAGCGAAACAACCGTCCGGCGGCTAGGTCACTTAGATTTGACTAGCAGGTAACTACTCATCTCAATCAATCGGTAGTTTATAATTTTGTACATAGTCTTTACATTTTAAGATTGTGATTTTTTGGTTACATGGGATAACTAAACTGAATTTCAGGATTTCATCATGAGCTGACATTAGTTAGAGAACTATTGGAAAACCTGGGAGTACTGGACAGCTGTTTCGTCCTAGTTTGGGACTCTTCAGCAGTACGCTGTCCAGTACTCCCAGGTTTTCCAATGATTCTCTAACTAATGTCAGCTCATGATGAAATCCTGAAACCAATCAAATCCCTACACAACATCCCTTAAACTGAATTTCCTGGTCATATTGGCTTTTATCGTATAGGGATAAATCTTTGTACTTTCAGTATGGGAATATTTTTCGTTTGATTAGTCATATACTGTCGTAAGTTGAAGTATTTGTTGAAACGAACCCAAATAAGGTGTTATCTTTGCTATATGAAACACAGTTTCTTATTGCAAGTAAATGGTTGATCAGTGATTTGCAGCAGTTTCAGGTGGTACATTCAAGGTATCATCGTACTCGGTTATGAGCCATCCTTGGAGTCAAAGATGTAGTGAAACTCAGTTTAAACACAGTTTTGTAAAACGTATTTATTTATGTACCAGCTTATAAGCCACAATTATTGTATGGGCTAATGGTGCTAGGTAGTTGGCAAGACTGAAGTGGATTTGGCGGGATTCTAACTTGGGCCCTAGTGACCGAAAGTCGACTTATATGAATTGTGTGAAAACTTATGAAACTAACTGACTGTCAAAGTCTTCAGCTTAGATACATAACTTTAATATGGTAGCTCACTGTTGCTGAGTTAAATGTATGTATGCAGGCAGCAATAGCTATACTTTGGTGTATTGTAATGCATGCTACTTGTATTGTTAAACATTAGTTTTAATGCATTGTTATTCATTCCTTGCTTAGGTTGTTTCACAGTGTTTAACTGATCTCAACCTTCTTCATTTCAACAAACCGTCAAGTGGTGCAACTTCAACATATCTCTGTGATTATGTACCAAGTTTTCCGAACTTTACCCTAAACGGCTGTCAAAATATTAGCCATGCTTTAAACAGTAATAACTCTGAGCACGTTGATGAAGACTGGTATCTTTTAGATCCTCGTTGGCTTAGTGCTCGACCCCATCGGATTGCGGATAATCCTTTATGTGATTTAGCTAATCTTTTTCCAAAGATAACACGTCTTACTCTAAGCCCAACGCAATTTACTGGTCCAATGCTACTTCGACTTTTATATCAGACTCCATTAAAGGAGCTAATTTTAATTCAAGTCAGTTTTTTTTAATTCACGGATAAGTTTGTTTTACGTAATAGATCAAATTTTCTTATGTAACTGAATCGGGGATATTTTTAGCTAAGAAGAATTATTTTAATTATGTCATTACGATGTGCTTCAACAAATAGTTATGAAGAAATTGTACTTGTTTACTTCTGTCTGAAGATTATCTCTCGAATAACAATGAAAGCCTTGCCACTAACTTGTTATTTTTGGAGAACATAACGTCAGCTATACCTACTTTGGTTTGAGCAGCTGGGTAGTATGATCAGCTGTCACAGCTCACGTGTAACAAAAGGCATACCCAGCCCGTGATTTGCACCTACACAAACTTTTTTTCACTTTTTGGTTTTATATTAGTGAATAACTTTATTTTAGACAGTATTCTCGTGCACAACGGAGAGTTCGCATTGTTGATCACCCCAAAGTATATACCTACGCAACATTTTTTACGTAAAATATTAGTAATAATGAGCAGTATGTTATTCGATGTAGAATTGTTTTCTTTTTGAAAATGTCTGTCTGTCTGTTTTCGACATAGAACTTTGCACAGATGTGCGGAAGTTCAAGTCGCCACACTCCATGTAGCACACAAAGCAATAGAAGAAAGTACAAGAAAAGCATAATAGAGACAGTAAGCAGAGGTGTGAGACAAAGGAAGAGTAATAAAGAAGAACAATATAGTTTGATTGGAAATTATAAGTCACAAGGAGTGGATGCATTTGCGCCAGCCATTGAGAACGATTTTGAGCCATGTTCAACCATTGGTTTTTACCGTCCCGAGGACCCCAACCACGAAGTATGCACCTTCCTACGTGACTGGCTTAGACCAACTGTTGTGGATTCCTTTGACTGGTGCCATGTTTTGGTTTGACCGCCGCTAGCTCTTTTCCAGCCTGACCCTATATCAGCTAAGATTGCCCATTGTCGAGGAAGGCGATGACTAGGCATACGTAACACATGTCCTAGCCATCTCAGTCGATGTAGTTTCACATCCTCGTGGATTGATTTCCCCTCCTTACCTAGCACTCGACCGAAGCTTAACCTCAATATTGCTTACCTTATTATACCGCTTCACACGGGAGATAAAACGCAGGCACCTATGATCAAAGACAGCTAACCAGCCTTTTCATGTCTTCCACTCTCAATGGCCAGGTCTCACAGCTGGCCATAAAGGAGGACGGAGCGGACTGATGAGCAGTACACCCGCCCTTTTTGAAAATATATAGTGTTAGGTTTAAAAATTATTTAAGTAAAAAAATGCATGCACACATACTTGAGAATGAGCCGTATCTATTGTGTTGAAGTCGTCGATTATGGTACTTTTTGGCCTAAACATTGGATAGTGAAGTTCTAGTCTATAATCGATTGACTGGATTAGTTGACTGAATAAAACAACGTAAGAGGATGTAAACTTATGCATATATATCTAGGCCGGAAAATGGTTTTCTTCTAGCACATTGCCTATCCCATTTGGTTAATTAAACAAACGCTGGTGTTGCTAGGGGTATTATTCATGCCTGTCATTATAAATGGTGTTTCAGAAGTTCTTTGTCTACGTCATGATATCAGTTCGTTGATGATGACGATGAATGTGTTTGTAACAATCCTGTTCAGAAGGGTTGTTAATAGATATAGATATTATATTCTATCTTTCACTTCTTGTGTACACTGAAAAATAAGTCTCAAATACATAATATTTAAAGACGTAAAAGTTAATGTATTGGAATACTTGTGTTTTTCTTACTGACTTAAGATGAGACTGTGATAAGTTTATGGAGGGTGTGGTCTTCAAAATCGTTTACTTTATTTAATTATGGTATATTCATCGACCTATTCTTGTATGAATGATTATTTGGTGAAGTAGATGATAAAGTCATTCGTTGGGTCTGTAAGAGTGTTATTTATTAAAGAAAATCAGTTCCTCTCTATAATGACGGGGTTGTTTAACTTGACTAGAATGCGCTTCCGAATACGACTCTGTAACCAACTGATCAGTTGAAAATATCCCCTCCACACACACACACACATACACACTGAGATAAACACAAAAATCAAACTAGAAAAAAAAGCCAAAGACCGACAACAACTGCAACAAGCTTTATTAGACAAAATATATGGTATAACGTATTCTCAAAACTTCAAGAATTTAAGCCATAAATAAACAAATCAAAAACTGTCCAGTCAGTTTATCATGTCGACATATGCATAAATTAGGACTCCATGGCTAAAAAAGAAGCTTGTACATCCTAACACCCTTAAGATTATCTTGTTTTTTTGTAATAGTCAGGCTCAAAATGATGTAAGTAGAGTATTAGTCTTGTTTTGTTGTTGTTGTTGTTGTTGAAGTTAAAAGTTAAGATGTTTATCACAACATTTTCAGGCATCTGGATTATACGCTATCCGATAGGAACAGTTGTACTCGTGAAAAAATTATTTCTTCTAGTAAATTCGACTAAGGATATTAAAAAGATGGAGTTTTTCTTTGAGAAAAAATGAAAAAGAGTTTAAGAATGAGAATATATAAATAGTCAGGGACTGACAGAGTAGGTTAAGGGTAACAATAAATCTTTTAACATCATTTCGCCTATTTTAATTAACCTTTCATTTTTCACTTAAATTGTTTTTCAAGTATTGGTTTGGTTAGGGATTTTGTTTAATTGCATGGAGGATTTAATCATGAGCTGACATCAGTTAGAGAACCACTGGAAAACCTGGGAGTACTGGACAGCTGTTTCGTCCTAGTTTGGGACTCTTCATCAGTACGCACTCACCGGGATTCGAACCGAGGACCTTCTGGTTACAAGGCGAGCTCGCAGACCATTTAGCCACTGGGACCCGATCCAATGGTCCTTGAGTTCTAACTTCTGCCAGTTCACGACATAGCGAGACCACTTCGCAATGTCTTTTTCAATGAGTTACTGCCTCATCTTCGACCTGCTGTACCCTACTGGTCACGGTTTCCCACTAGAACCCCAGGTTAACTGCCTGAATAGGGCCAGTCACTAGTGAGCATCAGATTAATTTTCAAGTATTGGTTTTGTAGGGATTTTGTTTGATAGCATGGAGGATTTAATCATTGCTTTGACAAGTAAATGTGTGTCCGAAATGTTTTGCGCATATACATCACATTTTTCAGATAAACTTCCACTTCTTAATAACCTTTTCCAAAGTAGTGTGTATAGTTTAATTTCATATTTTTATCCTGTTTGTAAATACACTTTTTTTCTTGAAATAATGTCTAAAAGTTTCGAGAATTAAAGATTTTAAGGTTTCTTTTCGTTACATAATGTTCACTGCCTAACTACATTTCATTAAAATAATCTGAAATTCTGTGCATTATTTCTTTCCACTAAGACTGATTTAACAGTGTTCTCCGTACCTCGTACTGGAAACCTAACCCATGTCCAACGAACAATATCATATGATTCTGATGATTTAGGTGTAGCTTTCAATGAGGATCATAATTTCGATCCTAATGACTCTATTATGTCAGAATTAATTGATTGGACAGAAGATATTCCACACCTTCGAAGATATGGTACTAGTCAAGAAACCTATAAATGGAAAGTTATACTCCCAAACATGTGGCGTGCAGCACTTTTCCTTCGCCCACACTTTACCGTTCATTTAAAGTTAAATCTAGTCGAAGATTTAACTTGTTTGCGTTGGAAAAATTCTTTATCAGAGGATAAGTTGAATTCAATACACAATCTACTTTCATTCTGGCCTCTTCCACCGGCACCAGTTACCTCAATCACATTAATTCTAAACGGAGAACCTACATTCATCGTGGATTTAATTAGTCCACGTAATCCGATCAGTCCGGTTTCCTATTCACAATCACTCACATCGTTGATAATAGTATTAGAGGTAAGTTGATTTCACAAATAGTTAGTATATTTAAATCTTTGTTGTTGCAGTTAGCATCAGTTTACTTAGAAGCATATTGTTAGTTTATTTAGGTGTCGCCTCTATATTTAATAGCCAGATACTGTTCTATATTTCTTGAGTTTCTGAACATTGATTCACCGATTCTTACCAGTTGTATCAAATTTTGTAGAGATGCTGTTTAGTTGTGATCCTGTTGAGCACCTGCTAAACATATATCAACAACTAGACTACCGATACATGGGGAAGGAATAAAACCGTCTTATTGGAAGTTGGTAAAGGTTTTCAAATAATGTCTGGTTTATTTCCGACTGAAGTGACGTACATATATTTGTTAAGCAACACACCATGTATACGAATTGAAATTTTAAGTCAAATCTATTTAAAAAGTAAAAGTTATATTATGTAATTGTAAAACACGAGTTCCTTGGAGTGGCGTTATGTAAACACTCCTACCGTATGGTCATATTTCATCCCCTATCTTCTAAACATTAAGCTTTAAATGGATAAATATCAAGAAAATAAAACTTTATGATAGTATTTTTTTGAAATGTTTTCAAACCAAAACTCTCACTTCTTATTTCCATACATAGAGTAACCTCTCTAGTTTTTTCCTCGGTTTTTTCTTTCTTCAGCATATTCCTTCTGAAGTGAATCCATCTACTTCGAAAAAACAGTCTAATGAAGTTTGTGATGATAATTGTTCAAATGGAATAGATCATTTATTACAAGATTTAATCAAGGCTTGTAAACATTTAACCCTACTGGCTCTTGGTGGCTCTAGCGCATATGTACATATTTTAACTTTACTGGTAATATGTCATCAAAGAAATCAACCTAATTGTACAGGTGATGAATACAAGTATAATCCATTACAATTGCTTGTTCAAAGGGAATGCTGCCGATTGGATGGCGTTTGTCCGTTGAATGTTCCAGCTACCATCTCTGCCTGGTATAGTACAATGATGTCCGAATCAGTCTCGTCTAGGATAAGAGTAGCAGAGTGTTGCCTGTGTACCGTACTGGGTCAACATCGATGGCATTTCTTAACAAATTCAGAATTTAATAACCAATTGAGTAATTACCTTTTCTGAGTTATTTATTTATTCACTTATATATTATTAAAGAGATAATTTCGTTTTAGATGTGGTTTCCTTATCTAGTCACCTTGTTATTATTAATATTCCTAGTATGTGCCTTTTGAATTCAGATATTAGCTCATTAATCCCCTAAGAGTCTCGCTTGCTTAGAGTCTTTTGTTTATTGCTCATGTATTAATGAACAACAAGAATGTTTTTACACCTGTACCTTTCCAATTTTCTTCCCTTTTTTTCTCGACTAATAACAAGCACACGACTGCATTTACCTAGATTTAATCTAATGAAATTGTGCCTTTTGTAGGTTATTTTCATTTTGCCCAATGACTTCAATTTATTTATGACTGAATAAAACTTCTTATTATGTTTTCTTTTGAAATCACTAGCATTTGTATGTACAACAAAGAATAAAAGGCATGCCATTAAAAAGGAACTAGAACAGTTAAAAAGAAAGTGTACGCGTTTCCGCAGTAATGGTAATGGTATCTTCAGGCAGTTTTGAGCGTTTTAGTATTGTATCTTTTGAAAAGGAAACTATTACATATGCTCCTATTGAACACTAGACACTAATTGTTCAGTAGACTAATGATGAATACCACCTTATTGTTTAAGACGACAGATCACGGGTCCGAATCCCAGAGAAAACGTCATCACTCACTGGAACGTTGGTATATTTGAATAATATGTCACCAGTAGGACGTAGTGCTTATATCGGATTTCGCTTCTGGAACGACAAATTTGCCAATAAAGTAGGGAATATCCTAGGAATTCTATTCAGTGTCTAGAAATACTGCATTTCTCGATGAGTGTTGTTAGCTGAGGGAGAACTGAAGATAGTCAGGCTTCGAAATAGCACAAGTTCAATAGGTTTCTGATTATTGGTCTCAGAGAACGGAATGATGTAGCTTAAATGACTGTTACCCTCAACATTCCAAAAACCAGAGATTAGACAGTTTTCATCACAGGTTTGCAAGCCTTCATAAATACCCCGGTATTGATATCTCTACTTTCGTCAGTCATTCACTATTGTTTGAAATTTTAGTCCACGTCATTTCGAGTTGCTAGCTAGTTGTCTTCAGAAAGTTGGCCACCAGTGCGACAGCTCACATTCGAGCTCGCCACGTACAATGTCCTCACATTTATGTGAATTGGACAAGAGGCAGATCTGGCTAAAACCTTGGAAAGCCTTGCTATTGACATATGCTATATAACTGAGACCCGTATATTAGATTCAGCTGAAGTAGTTCGAATATCTTCAATTCGAAATAGCGTGTACCACGTGCGCTTTTCGGGGAATCTTGCGACATTGATATCGGACTTTGCTAGCATCGGTGTCAGATTAAGTGCTATAAACCAAGCTGCATCACTCGACTGGATCCCCACTCACAGTCGTCCATGTTCTGTGGGATAAAAGGACTATGTGGTGCAGATCACAAGCTTCTACTAGCCAGCGCCGAATTCTGCCTCAACCATCGCCGTATTGTGACGTGTCTTCTCTCTACCATTCAAGCCTGGACTGAAATAGGTCGTAGTTCTACCAGCTATCAGTGGGTGCATAGAGAACTGCAGCTCCTTCTGCAGTATATATGTGGATTTTTACCATAGTTTAGTATGTGCCTATATTTCCATTTATTGGTGGTCGCAAACGTTTTCCTCAGCAGGTGAACGCAAGCGAACTAGAGTAATGAATAGGATAGGTTGTGTAAACAAACACTCACTGCCCTTGGAATGATAAGTAGACCCACTTGTGACTTAAGGGAGCTTCCCGCTGAAAGCCACTTTGTTTCTGTGAGTTTCTTGCTACCACTTGATGCCCGTCGGTCCATTTAGTGGATACCAAGCGTGTGAACATGTGTAAGACTCCCAAGCTTAACGTCAAATGGCACTTACTTAAGAACCGCGAGGCTTGATGGTCAGGACGTGCGTGTGAGTCAGAATCAACAGTCGTATCTGGTAGTAGTCGGAAGCTGATCCAGCTCATCTGATCAACTGGCTCAAGAACATGATGTCAGTGAGGCATATGACAGCTGATCAACAGCTGGAAAAGACTCATGAAACTCTGAACAAAGCACTCAGAGGAACTATTAAGATGGCCCATAGTGTCAGTTTCCCACTTAATTAATCAGAATACTCCATGATCCTAAATGAACTCCCAGCATCCAAGAGCCATAAGATACCTGTTCTTTTTAAGGACAGTAGTGCGACTAATCAGGGAGCCAACTAGATTGTTTAGGGAAAGTCAGAATACTTCACGTATGTGCAGTGAAGCTATTACCGTGCCGGTCTTTAAAAAGAGTCTTAGTTATCCGTGGGAAAATCATCGGGGCAGTTGTGTCTAAAATGTTGGCTGATACACAGCTCCGCATGCTTTGTAGAGCGTGTGAGTAATTGATTCGCGAAGAGGAGACTAGGTTTCGTTCTGGTCGTGAATGTATTGATCACGTGTTCATCCTTCAGTTTCTACCACACAACAAATATCGCAGGACGAAAATCGTTGTATGTCTTGATATTATAGCTACCTTAGATTCGCTTATCAGAACTGCTTTCTGGAATTGTCTCTTAGAGAAAGGTATTCCTGACCAATTTTTTGACCATCCTAGAAGGGCATACAACCAGCTATCACGGCTGTTCTTAACCAACAGTGGAGCTAAACAGTGTTTCTTAGTCTCATCACTTCATTTTGACTATCCCGTAGGTAAATTTATGGAGGCAGATGTGAGCGGTAGCACGGATGTGCAGCCTGAAGAAAGACATTCTGATCTTCAACATGCAGATGATATCTTCTTACGGTGCAGTAACATAGAAGTCAACCAAATCGCAGGTAAGAAGTTGTTGATCAGTGTTCTCAAGAATGGTATGTGTTCTGCTCTATCAAAGTGCAGACTATGGTTATACCATTGGTGGGAGCCTGAACCTGCAGTTACCCTCTCAGGTGATCCGTCAGAAATAGTCAGTAAGTTCGTGTTTCTGCTTAGTTGCAAATGACAGCGGCAGACTGGTGGATGAGATCTATGTGGTGAAAGTGAGGGAGGCATATTCCGAAATGGGCTATCTTTGGCACCGTCGCGACGTTAGCATGGACATCGAAGATTGGCCAATAAATATACTAAGTATAAGCTCACTGTAGGAGAACGAAAATTGACTGATGTGAAAATTTGGTAGCTTGTTACCTCGACGCTTTCTTGTAAGACCTTGAGTCCATAAATGTGAAATTCAGTGAATGAATGATTTATATTGTGGGCAAAACTTCAAAGTATCATGTAATTCGTGTGGTCAGATGCAACAGCTGTGAATATAAGCTTAAACTCTAATAATCATAATAAATTTGACTATCTAAATTTGCACGTAGATGTTATCAGCAGGTATGTAGTTGACGGAAAATTTGTGACCAACCGTCTATTAACAACTCATTTACTTCAGTCACGTGAACATCTCTCAAACTTTTAAGGTTTAATCTGTTTGGAAGTGTCTGTCACACTAGTCGAAACAAAGTTCTCTTTTAATGGCTTTTGCATATTTGTAAGTTCGATGATAATAACCACTAAATGGTGAGAATGAGGTGGTTAAACTTTAAGTTTTATTAACTTATTATGTAGTTATTAGGAAATGCTTAGCTGCATAGAAACTCACTTTTAATAATGCGAACCTACTAGACCTAATAATATTAGATAATGGATTTGAAAGCATCCACGGTAGCATTACTTGGCTTCTTGCGTCCAACAATTGTCATATTTCTTGACTTGAAGCCGGCCTTCGACTCCGTGGATCGAAAGGTACTATGGCAATGTCTGACTGTGAAGGGAGTGCCAAGAAAGTACATTGCACTAATTAAGGCGCTCTATTCAAACTCACGTAGTCGTGTAAGGGCTTATGGGGAATTGTCATCTGAATTGGTAACAACCAGTGGTGTCCGACAGGGATTTCCACTTTCCCCATTTCTGTTTAACTTCATCATAGATATGCTGATGGAAGTATCCTTAACTGAACGTAATGACTTAGGAATCGACTTGTTACCAGGGAATAGTCTTATGGACTTAGAATATGCAGATGACATAGTCCTGTTAGGGGAGGATGCTGACAAAATGTAGAGTCTTCTGAACACCTTGAGCAGCAATCTTCGTATGTTTGGCATGCGATTCGCCCCTGCAAAATCTGAGATGCTGCTACAGGACTGGACCACGTCAACTCCTAACTTAGTGATAGGGAGTGAAGTGATAGAACATGTTGACCACTTCACCTATTTGGGAAGTTGTATTAGCACCAACGGACTGATTGGCGATGAAATCTCAGCACGGATCCGAAAAGCTCGAGCTGCTTTCGCTGACTTACACCATCTCTGGCGTAGGCGTGACATCCGGTTATCAACCAAGGGACGTGTGTACTGCTCAGCAGTTCGCTCCGTCCTTCTCTATGGCTCTGAAACATGGCCAATTCGCGTTGAAGACATGAAAAGGTTGACTGCTTTCGATCATAGATGTCTGCGATCCCTGTCTCACGTTAGGTGGTTTAATAAGGTAAGTAATGTTGACGTTAGGCGTAGAGTGTTGGGCAAAGAGGGAAAATCAATCGACGAGGCTATAAAGTTACACAGATTGAGATGGCTAGGTCACGTGCTGCGCATGCCTAACCACCGCCTCCCCCGACGGGCATTACTAGCTGATATAGGTGCAGGTTGGAAAAGAGCCAGTGGTGGCCAAACAAAGACATGGCATCAATCCATGAAATCCTTGACAGTTAAACTGAGTCAGGTAGGGAGATGCAGACTCCCGGGTTGGGGCCCTCGGGACTCTAGGAATCAATGGCTGGAGACAATAGGTGACATGGCTCAAAATCGTTGTTAATGGCGCAGATGTATTCAGTCTCTGTTATCTTTCATATTCCTTTCTACCATTACCCATTCTGTTTCACTCTTATACTTGTCAAACTCTATTGATTCTCTTCACTCATTTTCTTGTCTACCTCTGTGTGCTATTTGGAACGTGGCAACTCGAACTGCT